AGTCTTGGTCTTGCAAACTCAGTTTGGTCATGGTCTTGGTCTTGCACATGAGTCTCGCAACAGTCTTACAGTACTGTATTTTGTAGATAGGAGAAACCTAACTAAGCCTGAATGAGAAATTAGAGGAATTAAATGCAAAACTATATTGGTTATACCAATTATTTACATATAGTAACTAAGGTTGTCGAGTATCAGTAACTATTTTGCCTTAATTTTTTATTAAAAACATCGATTTTTTTTACCAGTCCTGGTCTTGGTCTTGCAACAGTTAGGCGGCCTTGGTCTTAGTCTTGCAAAGTGCAAGACCAAGACCCATTTTGGGCAACACTAGGTGAAATGCCAAAATTGAATTTTAAATTATGTTTTCTTATGTCTTATTTAAACTGATCATTATTAAAAAATAATATTAACAGAAAATTGCAAGCCCCAAAATAGAAAAAAAAATTGTTTTTGTTACAGCGAATATTAGATCTAGGCTGAGTTCTACTACGCAGGAGATGGCAGGGAATTTTCCTAAGTACAGGTTATAATCAATAAGTACATGTCATTTTCCGTTTCTGTTGGTTTAGCCTGATAATTGTATGATAATTAATTGCTCTTTGAGAAGATGTACGTGAAACTTCATCCATAGAAGTTCCTGTTCATAATTGTGAAATTTTTACAATTACAAAATGTACTTTTTTCGATGTTTTTTCGCCAAAACTGTCCCTAAAATCGATAATTTTTTTACCATTAAAATTTCAGGCTGATATTTTATATTTTGTTACAAAGAAAAAGGTGTATTGAAGTTGATAATTAAATACCTCAACTCGTATTACCGGATTCCCATGAACTCAAATAGGTTTTGATGTAGAGATGGTTGACCGTGATATAATATGAGAAGGAGTTGATCGGGGCGTGCGGTCAAATAAATACTAAATTATACAAATAGTATTATTTAATTTTTTTACCGACGTTTCGACCTACTTTGCAGGTCTTAATCAGGGCTACAAAAGACACAAAACAAGTGAAAATAAAATAAATGAATATAAGTAGATATAAAATATGAAGAATTTGTCTGATAAAGAAATAAAAAAATGATATCGGATATATAGTGGGTGACAATGTAGTTAAAATATCAAGTATTATATATACTTTTTTTTCAATTTGTTTTCTATTTTTATTCTTACTTATTTTCCATTTTTGTATCTTATATATATAATACTTGACATTTCAACTACATTGTCACCAACTATATCTCTGATATCATCTTTTTATTTCTCTATCAGACAACTTCTTCTTATTTTATATCTACTTATATTCATTTATTTTATTTTCACTTGTTTTGTATCTTTTGTCTGATGAAGACCTGCAAAGTGGGTCGAAACGTCGGCAAAAAAATTAAGTAATACTGTATGTATAATTTAGTATTTATTTGACCGCACCCTCTGATCAACTCCTTCTCAAATAGGTTTTGTTCATTAATGGGATACATTAGATAGATTGGATAAATTTAATACTAATCAAAAATCTATCTAAAGAAATATGAAAAAGGGCAACGTATATATATATATATTTAAATTAATTGTTTCCTCTATTTATACATTTATTCTATAATAATATTGTTCATATTATATCAGATTAACACCTTTCAAGGTGGTCCACAGTCCTTAGAGATAAATCCCTTTTTATATTGAAGTTGAGTTCTTTTTCTATATTATTACAGAATTTTAGCGATTTTTTCATCCTTTTCAAAAAGCAGGCCACTTCACTCTCAAAGATACAAAGAGCGGAGAGGACCGCATATGCGGACAGGAACAGAAGGGCTTTATGATTCTAATTTAGGGATCACCCCCTATCACATCTGCTCTAGGAGGGGGGTAAAAAAGGGACAACAGGTCCTAGTAACGAGAGCATTGTCTGCTCAACAATGTTAGTGCATCAACTTGCAGGGGGCCATTAACTCGGCACCCCCCCCCCACCCTACCCTCCCTCAGCTTATATCTTCCTGCATCCTGAGCTGCTGCCCCCGGATCAGTACCATATTTACTTACCCTAATAATTGAAAAAAATTACAAGTATTTTAGGATTGAATGACTTACAAATTTCAACAATTTCTTTAGTGAAGGTAAATGTTTTTTGAAAACATTGATGTTTCTCATTAAAAAATATCTGTGTTGAATAATCCATCAATGCCATGATATATTGTAACAAAGATCGTACCATCGCTTCCTATGAATAGAAATATGTTCTCTTCACAGCTTTTATTAAGTAATTTAATTTATCGAGTCATTGTATTTAAGAAAAAAAAAAACCGTGAAAACATAAACCTTTATTTGATTCCATATTAATCATTAAAAATACTTATTACTAAAATGAAAAAAAAAAACGTACAAATTGAAACTTTGCGTAGGTTTCATTGAGATTTAAAATCTCTTTATTAAGATGTACATTTTCATTACAAAACAAAAAAAAAATTTGTTACTACGATACAAATAAAATATTAAATTAATATCTCAAAAATTGTTTTTAAAAATTATCTCATTTGCTTGCGTTTACCAGTGAGGTGGCTCTGTTAGTAGTCCAGTCAACGATTGACCATAGAAGGAAATGGCGGAGACACAATTTTTGACCTTGGGACATTATTTTGACTATTAAGGGTAAACATACTAAAAGTCCCCATGCCACGACTGAATCGTAGAACTGATCGATCAAGAGTTACCTAGTCAAATACTGTAAAAAACAAGATGTAAAAAAAAAATGTTCACAGCGATAGTTGAGGATGGATAACGCGGAAATAAATAAAGCGATAATCCATTATGTATTATTTCTAAAAGGTTTTTTTTTTATTGACCACTCATTTTGAATATAATCTTTTCCTTCTCATGCGAAAGTTAGTCCTATCTCCCGAAAATTCTGGAAAAAAAGTTATGAAGGAAAAGAAACTTTGCGAATAACTCCAAAAGTATGCTTTTTTTTGTAATTAAACCCATGATAATTAGAAAGATTAATAAATTATCCACAAAACAAAAAACAAATCGGACAATCATTGACAAAGATACAGTCCATTAGTTTTAGTATACTTAATAATGTTTTCCTGTTTAAAGATATTGAAATTTTTTTCCTGGCTGATGTATTAATTTTATTACTTCCAAAAGAAATTTGGTTGTTCTTGCATTTTATTTTTAATAATTTAGAAAATGCCATGATCGCGGCATTATTTTGTCTTTATTACTTTTCAGTCAGCGTTTAGCAATAGGTCCTAGCAAAGCAATTTGTACAAATATTTTGGTCTATTATGTTTAATGGAATATTGTAATCGACCAAGGAAAAATTTTTCAATTCCTTCCTTACATGATACATAGGATCTACTTACTTATTTCCATATTGTTTTACTATTTCTTCACTAAACAAAATTGTTTGAAAACTATTCCCACGGGCCAACTAGTCTATTATATTACAAACATAATCACCTTTAATTTTTTATAGAATATCATTGTCGATGCGATGGATAGTTTTCCTGATATAAGCAATAACCTGAAAAACAGCAATAAACATGAAACAATTTTTATTTTTTGTAAGTTAGTCATAGTCGAGGATGGATATCTCGGAAACCAAGCAAGGTAGCGAAAAAGGTATATGAACAATTATATTGCAAATTTGTATTGGGCTGCCAGGGGCCGATTGGCCTAATAGCCTACGGCAGAGGTGTTAAATAAAAAAAATAATGCAAATTTTACCAGCCTTAAATTTGTATAGAACGCCTTTGTCGATACGATAAATAGTTTTCCTGATAAAAGCAAAAACCCGAAAAAATTAACCTCTATTTGCCCTCTTCCCACAACCGGCTCACCACCTAGGAGTGGGAACTTTTATATTTATTCCTTATTAGTCCAAACAGTGTCCCAAAGTCAAAAACTGGTCTCCGCAATTTCCTTTTATATCACCTTTTCGAGCATTATTGACTGGACTATAGTAGAAATAGTAAATTTATTTATTTATTTTTTGGAATAGAGGAAACCGTCGTAGATAGTTAAATTTTCATATCGATATAAAAGATGTTAGACAAATATATCGATATTTTTCAGTAATCCTAAACAGATTGTCCAGAAAACGTATGAGTACTATTGTTTCATATGTCTAATTTTTATTTAATTATCCAACACTTATTAATTCTCTTCCAAATAAAAATGTTTTTATCTTCTGTTCCATTTCACTAGTTGAAAATAAGTCAGATGGCAAAGCGTGATTTTTGCCCAATTTCGTTCTACGATTAAACTCGGTCGGAATCGGCCAGAGATTCAACCATTTCAAGTGCACCATTCAACGATGGTTAAAAAAAAATTCTAGAGAGAAGCTTCAGCCTTCATGACCGTAGGGCATTATATAGAAGACGATGTTCTACGAGCTTCGCTTGAATTATATATCAGAACTACTTGAGGAGAACTTTCATAGAATCTCACAGTTGGCGAACAAACCATCGATGACCTTTTCAACTATATTGGAAAGTTGCTTAAGACTTGGGTATTTAGTGGATTAACGTTCCAACGTCAAATCTTGCCTAAGAAGTTTCCGCTGATATTCTTTTCCGAAACCGAAACAAACCTTTTCAATACTGCTCTCCAGACCTCTCTCTGGCCTACCATTTATCAATTTTTTGACTTCCGAGCCACTTTTTAAATGGTGAATATTTAATTGATCAAAATTCGTTAGAAAATTCATTTTTTAATTACAATTTGTTAATAATAATGAAATATCTTGTGTTCTAATTTAATAACGGGAAACTGCTGTGAAAATATATCTTTTGTTTATTAATTTTTTTTTCACTAAATACTTAGGTTTTACTTACGAACTAATTTAGAATTAGATAATGATAAATTTATAAACACTCAAAAATGGAATAGTGGTGAAACGTTTACTGACATGTACTGATTCACAAACCACTATACAAGTCAAGATATGGCCGAACAGATCTATATCGCGAACCTGAGGTGAAATCATACATGCTTATGTATAGGCTCTTAACAGTCGCACTTGGCCGTGTGAGGGCAGGCTAGTTGGTAAAGGAACTGAATGATCGTGCGCGTCGGGCGGCCAGTCATCGTACCCTTGCGCAAGTAGCGCATGCCGGCCTCTCGGTGCAGCAGCCCCGTCGCCGACACCTCCATAAGCACGAAGTCGCACTGCGCCGGCACGAACTCCTGCAAAAAATATATCACTACTAAGTGGGTCATTGGTCATTTTTTTTTTTTACCCCTACTTCGCTATTTCTGGCATACGGGGTAAAGGTACAACCTAACCTATTCTGACCAGAGTGGAAAGGCCAAGATTTATTCCGTGTGTCTGCCATGAAATAAATTTTAACGTGTCCAGGCCTCGAGAGTACTCATCGGCCAAAATTTTTGCTAGATGACTAAAAAACTGAAACAGATCCGGTAAAAAAAAAAAATTAAATTCTGTAAAAACGTGCCAATCTCCCTCCCCTCAAGGTCGATGGCGCATTCTTCCTTCTCAAAAAATTGTATCGCACTCCACTTCTTAAAAATGGTATAAGCGGAAAAAGAATTATAAAAAATGTAATTTATGTACAATTATATTTGCTGTAATTTGCAAATATAATTTGCCGAGAATATTTTCAGTTGGCAGAATATAAATTTTTCACTGCTTTTGTTGAATATTTCAGTAGAAAAAACAAGATTTAGCCGGTGTCGCGAGTTGTAGCTTACTTATCTAATTGTGCGGCACCGGAATTCGAACTCGTAAAGTTTTGTTTTACAGTTTTGAGCTCGGCCACCCCGCCCTCTTACTGATCATGTTTCATGTTATGAAAGTTGCTCCAAAATAGAAACCCCAGAAACAAAAAAATAATAGCCCCTTAATGTGTGCCTCCCCTCAAAAATTCATAACCCTGCAAAAATACACTGACAAGCAAAAAATTCCACCCACTTTATTTTTTCATGTTTTCATCTAAAACTATTTCACCCACTTGTAAAAAAAGTTGTATTTGTATATAATACATGGTATTTGTAGATAATACTTAGTATTTATGGAATTTTATAATCTTTTTTACCTTTAATAATCAAAATGTGATTGGGTAAGAAAGATTGGAAAAATTGAAAAACGAACCATTATTATTCTAAAAGAAATTAATTACATCATCGTTTAGTAGCGCGTGTTTCCTCCTCTTGCCTTCACTACTTCGTGAAGACGCCTCGGCATACTTTCCACCAGTCGCAAAATGTCACTTTGCTGGAGGATAGCCCATTTCTTCCGAAGAGCCCTTTCAAGGTCCTGCAGTGTGTCAGGAAGTGTTGCACGCGCTCTTATTCTTCTTCCGAGATTATCCCATAAATGCTCAATGGGCTTCAAATCTGGAGAACGTGCTGGCCAGGCTAAAACCGCAATATTGTTCTGTTGAAGGAACGTCTGCACTATGCGGGCGACATGTGGGCGTGCATTATCCACGATCGCCGATTTCGTTGAGGATAGGCAACACATGAGGTTCCAAAATCTCATCTACATAGCGAATGGCCGTCAAAGACCCTCCAGGAACAACAACCAATTCTGTGCGGCGCTCCATTGAAATCCCAGCCCACACCATTAAGGAACCACGTTGGAAAGGTTGGCTCTGGGAAAAATTACAGGCTGCATATCTTTTGTTTCTTCTTCTCCACACCCTTTCACGCCCGTCTGGAGATCGAAGAGCGAATCTTGACTCATCTGTAAAAAGTACAACACTCCATTTGTCCATAGTCCAATGGCTGTGTTCTCGAGCAAAAGCCAGCCGTGTTACTCTGTGAGTTCTGGTCAACTCTGGTCCTCTTACTGGACGAATAGCCATTAATCCATACTCATTTAATCTTCTCCGAGCGGTACGTTCAGAAATTTACACACCTCGAACTTCTTCGAGCTGATGAATCGCTTGAACAACTGTAAGGTGCCGGTTTCGTAAAATTCTCAAAGTCAAAAACCGGTCATCCCGTGGTTCTGTTACCCTAGGCCGTCCAGAGCCTTCTATTGTAAAAACCAGTTTCTCGAAAACGCTTGACGGCGTCTCGTAAAGTTTCATATGGAACTCCGATGGCATTAGCTGCATATCTAATGAAACGTCCATCAATAAGTGCCACACCACGCGCAACATCCTCAGCACTAAGAGGCATTTTTAAACTTAATATTGAAAAAATTAAAAGCCGGAGACTAAGAAATGTGCTGCTAGAAACGGCACTGAACTAATGACACTCAATAAACATTTTGATTCCATAGAAAGTAAACATTGGAATCTAGAATCATTTCATTGAATTAAGGGTTATTGTCTTCTATATTAGTATTCCTAATTGAAAACAAACAAAAAGATTGCCTATTCATTCATTGAAAACAATAGACCAATCCAATGCAGAAATATATTTAGATGAAAACATGAAAAAATCAAGTGGGTTGAATTTTTCGCCTGTCAGTGTATGTCTCACTCAAAACTTTTGATTTTAATTCCTTCTCATTCCTTGTCGACGGTCGGCGGATGGAAGGGTGTAGACAGCGATGGTCGTATCATCGTCGTATCAAACCGAGGGTTCTATACTCGGTTTCACTAAGCCTTTATTATTATTAATGCTTTGTTGAATATTAATAAATTATGAATTTCTCAAAATATATTACAGAACATTTATGATTATTCGTCTGCCGAAAATTGTATATGTCTTACTGGTACAGTACAAACAAAGACTTTATAATAATTACATATATATGAACAACTGATAAATACTAAAACAACAAATACAAAATAATAAATATTTTGAGCAATGCTAAAAATTAATAGTAAAGGAAAATGAGAGAAATCATAAACAATAACATGGATAAAACTGCCCACAAATAAATTAGACGGATCATTGTCTATACTGGATGTAGCAAATTAAAACGGTGGATCCACGCATGTCGAGCAAAATTAACAATGTTACGATATTCGTTCACATAGGGAGCATTTAGAAGAGAAATTAAGACACCATTTCTTACCAGGCTAGTTCCAGGTTTTATAATTATTATCGGCTGTAGTTTGTAAGAATATCATTAAGTTGAAAGTATCTAAAGAATATTTACAATTGATTTATTTTGCATATTAAAATTTTCTAATGGTTAAACATTTCATTTTACATTTTTTCTTCTTAAAAACTCTTAGTGTATAAAAATTTAAAAAAAAAAAAATGTGGTTTAAAACTTCGAACCTTTCTTTTGTTAATTTACTGTTGTTGCTACAGGCTGAACATGAAGGAGATCTGAAGTTGAATGAGGGGAGTTGTTTATATTTAAATTCTTTTGAATTAAGAGCTGAATTATGTAAAAAAAAAAAAGGTAAAATATTCACAACAAAACTAATACTACAGTTACCATCAAGAAAGCGGCAGCCAAGCATGGACCACCACCTCTTCCCAATCCTGTGTTTACAACATCCACGCCCTCATAATCTGAAAAAAAGTTAATAACTCTTTAATAAAATAAACTATTATTTGATAACCATGAGAGACCTGCATTACCAAATATACTCTTATTTAACTTACTGGTTACTCTGCTTCTAAAGCACTTCCAAAGCGGCAACCTCCACACCCTGTCCCCGGTGTAAGCTCCCGCCATGTTGATCTCCTCCCAACAAACGTCAGACGTAGTGAACAGTCCATTAGGTGGGGTACCGAAACTGTTACTTAAACCAGCTGTAAAATAATGGATGTATTGTGTTTATGGAAAGGAGTAGGTTTTTTTTTAATGTTTAAATAAATTTTATAATAATTATATTAGGAGGTGGCAAATCCTTCCTCACCACGACGTCGGTTTTTCGAAAGATCTTAAATAATGATTATTTGATATAATTTATGAAATTACGTTTGTTATCGATACAGTATGAGATAATTTAAGCTTATTTGTTGTTGTTTTTTAAATAAATAAATATCGTTCTTCTTTTGAAGAATATAAAAGAAATTGATGGAATCAAAAGGTAATGAATAATCGTGACAATAATTAAAGCAGTTCTGGAATTATTCCCTCACTAAATGAACAGAGCTACAGCTGACAAGATATAAAAGAAAAATTTTAAATTAAAAAATTTCATGAGGCATTGTCCTTATGATCCACAAAAACATTAATTCTCAACTCCAATTTAAATCAGCGTTTACTAATAAAAAGTGTTATTTTCGATTAAATAAAAAGTAGTCAATTCTTTAAATATTTCCATTGGTTGTGAGGATATTTAAGGACAGCGTATAGCTTATGTCTTCAGGGAATGGCAGAAACGAATACACAAGTATCTTACAAATATTATTTCGAAAATATTCATTTTGCAAGGTGGTCACTTCGAACTACTCTGACCTTGAGTGATGTAATATATAATATCGTATCTAATACATATATTTAACTCGATATAATGTTAATTTTTTAATTCTGAAAAAAAAAATCAGTCACTGGATAAGAGTTAAGTTAAAGTTTTGTTTACTCACTTGAGCTGGTTGACACCGTCATTATAAATGCCGGCTTGTACCTGGCGCAGTAGGCGAGGCAATCGGCGCAAATTACTCGGCCGTCGTTGGCAGGGTCTTCGATCCTGATTGTCTTCCCATTTCTGGACATGGTCACATCACCATGCTTCAGAGCCAGGCCGCTCGGCATGTTTTCGTACAAAGCGAGCACTCCTGTTTTCCAAAGGACCGTTATATGTATGTAAACAAAAAAACGAAATAAGAAAAACAGCTTTATTATCTCCTGCTAAAAGTGGAGTGGAAACCATTTGGTGCAGTTAAAATATAAATAGAGATTGACTTCTAAAATAAATGCTCGCCGATTCCAACCACTTAAACGAGCCAAAACAACAAATTATTTTGTTTAATGGAATTCAGCTCAATAATGCTGTAGCTTCATAGCCTCCTAATAAAATGTACTTTACAATACTTTGTAACGGGCTTATGGAGTTTGTATTGTAAGGGAAAAGTCTGTTCGTTTAAATTATTAGAAAATGATTTTTTGGCTAAATAACCAAAATGTCTACTTCCAACCCGCAACTATCAGAATTTACTACCAAACGGGGACAACTCCATTTCTAACCGACACTGAGATTTGGCAGGTCTTCATAAATTGTTTCTAATGCTAATTAAAAAAATAAGTAACTACGGTTATTATATGATTATATAACCATGGTTATACAATATTATTTAATGGTTATAGTAATTATTATAATCACTATGCACCAAATTTCAGTGAAAAATTCATTCTACTATTCAAGATTTCTATTGAACTTATTGAAGATAGCTTACCTCGGTACTTAGTTAAAATAATAGCCATTATCAACTAAAAAAAAATCCTAAAACTTACCTATGACGTTTATCGGCAAATTAAGCCTTGCAATCGCTTTGATAACCGATACGACGCACGCTGCACCCGCGATATCACCCCTGTATATTGACATGCCCTTAGGGGGTGCGAGGTTCAATCCTCCGGTGTCGAAAGTCGATCCCTTACCTGAAAGAGGAATAGTTATTCTTACATCTAGAGTGATTGAACTGATGTTGTTACGAAACGGTACCAACCCAAAAGCACCACTGGTCTCTCGTTCTCCTTCCCTCCGCAGTACTTCAGCTCGGCGAAGCCTGGCGGTTGGCAGGAACCGCGGGCCATCGTAAGGAAGGCGTTGAAGTGGTTAGCCTCCATCCACTCCCTGTCGCGGAGTTCTACCTCAACTCCGCACGGACACAGATATTCTATTGCCATCTGTGTTATAAGGATTGCTAACTTAATAACATAAATAATCACATATGCTTTATGTCCTCTCTTATCATTACTCTGAATTTATTGGTTTGTTTATTTGTTTATTTAGGCTTTGAGGCGTAAAACCCTAAGGTCATCAACGCCTGTGAGTCGGTTATATTTGTAAACTCTTTAGAGGAGAATTAATAATTAATAATAGATAGAGTAATAAATGAAAAAGATATTTAAAAACATATAAAAAATGAAATATATTATAGATGTAATATGTTTTATTTGCTATTTGAGTAGTCCTTAAAACATTAAAACAGTGATCGATCCCAAGTCATAACTATTTATTATTCAGAATGTTGTTGTTTTGTTAAATGTGAAATATAATTACCTGACAGAATAATGTCGGTGTCATTAAGTTGGACGGACATTCCGAAATCCAACGTGCCATATTCTGCGATTCAGCACCGATGGTGCCCTTTAGCCACCATTGCCTTTGAAATTTTAAAGAAAGATCAGAAATCCACTTTTTAGAAAGAGGTCAATTATTTATTGAATAATGTGAGGGAAATATAAACAACATACACGTCTTCGTTGTCATAGAGCTCTATCTTCGGTGCCGGTTCTTGGTCTTCTTTGTTTCTCCAATCTTGGTATTTCCAGACGGATAATAGGGAACCCTCTGCCGCCGCTTCGGTGTTTGTGAAGCCTTCGACGAATATGTGAGTCGCTCCCTGTAATGAGTTGGTTTAATTTATTTACTATCTTATATGAGAATAATTTTTAATGGGCTTATTATGTTCAGATCGAAACTTTTTTGGTACAAGTGTAAAGAAGAACTGAAGTATCTTTAAATATTTGTTCAATGAAATATCAATAATGAGGAAAGAGTTTTAGTGTAAATGAGACAAGGAAGGTGTAAGTGGAGATGTAGCCACTGACCATGTCCTGTAGCGACCTGGCACCTATGCCGGCCGCCTCCCGGATGTACTCCTTGCACTGGTCCAAGGCCTCCACGGGGTGGAAGGCGGCGCTCTCCGGCCCCAAGCAGGCCACCGCCACGTAGCTGAAGTCCTCATTTAGCCCACCGAAAACTTGAGCTTTGCCACGTGGTATTTTCGACCTGAAAAAATCAGTTATCTTTGAATACGATTGTTTTACATGACAATCTTCCATTCCTTGGAAAAAAATTGTTCACCCTTTAAGAAGTTCTGTGAGCTTGCCACACACACAATTGTCGAACTTGGTTGCTGTTTCAGTCAGTTTGAGTCCGCCCTCGCAAGTTTCGTAAGCACCGAGGACGAGACCTTTCTGTCGACAAATAACAAGCTGATATTTTGAAGTAATAATTTTAAAATAAATCATATTATCGAATAGTTACTAGAATTGTACAGTTAAACAATGTTATGATAATGTTATACAATGCGGAATGTTCTGCGATTTCATTCTCCGTCTAAACCAGTCTTCATGGTAACCCCATCACGTTTCTTCTGAGATCTGGAGAACTGGATGTCCTAAGCGCTCAAACAATCCTCATCGCTCGTGAAATGCCTCCCTGTCTGTTTTACGACTGAAGAAAAAGGTCGAAATCGCAGAGAGCTACATCTGGACTGTAGATTGATTGAATATTTTTTGTCTTAGGGTCTAAGGCTCTTTCTTGCAGGAAAAAGTACAATAACGGTTACATTTTAGCTTCACAATTGCCATGTAGTATACAATATGCTCTATTTATAATATAATTTACAACTGAATTTTAATTTTAGTTATTAAATTAGGATAAATGTACAAGATAATATGCAGAAAGTAACAAAAAAAAAAAAAAGAGGATGAGAAAGAGAAAGATTATAGGTGAGACTACAGAGATGAAAACAAGTGCTAGGAGGGAAGAGAGTAATTGTAATAACTTTGAAAATTCATCCAAAAAGAATTAGTTCCAAAAACATTGAAACGATGGAGGATTTTCATGATGAAGAAACCATAAACCTAACCAACCCGCTCGGCCGAAGAACGTGCAATGTTTACACCGATTCAGGAAGACATTCTTTGATATACCACTTCTCTGTGATATTCTAGCACCACTCGCTTTGTAACGCCCCTTCCAAAAATAATACTGCCTTCTTAACAGATCTGGTTTTCCGGACAGTCGCGTTTTTCCTCATCTTTATAAAAAAAATCTATAATTGTAACTAACAGATTCGAAATCATAATCATAAAAGACATAATACTCGTATTAAACTGAAATAGTTGAGTTTCATATAATAAAAACTTCATTTACTCAACTTCCACAAATGAAAGTAAACAAGGAAAAACCAATCTTTCTATTCTTTTAATTTTGAATTAAGTTATTGGAAACGGACTTTTCACTTTGGTACGTAGAATATTCGAAGCTTCGCCAACAAAAAGTTTCAGGTGCAAAAGGAAGAAGAGATAGCAGGATTAGATCTGGTCGTGCTCACAGAAACAAAAACGAAAGGTAAGGGACAGGAGCTGTCGGGTGAATATGTGCCCATTTGGAATAGTATGGGAAGAGATATGTGAGCTAAAGCAGGTTTTTCGATTCTGATAAAGAAGCCGCTCAATGAAAAGATTACATATGTGAGGAAATAACAGAGAGTTGTTTATGAAGGTAGATCTGGATGTTTTTGGCAGAAGGGTCGAAGATATACGAGTCTACGACCCTGGTGATGATGACCTCCCGAAAGTGAAAAATGAATTCGAAGAGGTTTTCAGGCTCATGCTGGAGAAGATTCGTAGAAGCGTCGATCATTCTGGGGGACTATAATAAACGAGTGGATTGCCAAGTAGAAAGCAGAGTTGTCGGAAGGTGCGGAGAAGTTTAGATTATGGATAATGGAAAGATGCTCACAGATATCTGCGAAGCGTTCGATCTGCAGATTCAGAACACATTATTTCAGCACAAACCCATTCACCAGTTCACATGGAGTAAACCTGGGTTCTGATCCTCCGTACTGGATAATTGCATCACCAGGCAAGTTGTGAGGTGGAAGATGTATAAGTGTTCATTGGATGGGAATGTGGAACTAATCTCTTTATGCTCCGGACCTAGATTCTTTTTTCGGGACGTTACGAATCAGAGAGCATCACCTTACCGAAGTACAAACTGGAATTTCTTGTGAAGGACAGTGTTGGGAGGTTATACAGAAGCAGACTAGAGAAAAAATAGATCTGAGCAGGTGAAGCTATCTTTCGGAAAAATATGAACACTTAAGGGAGTGCATCCACTAAGCTGCGGGGGAGGCGTTAGAGTATGATGTAAATATGATGAAAAGAAACCAGATTGTGGTCTGAAGCGGTATTGGATCTGTTGAAGGTCAAGCAAGAAGCATATGAGAAATACTTAGCGTCGAACAGGGATCAGGACTGTATTGGCTACAGAGCTCTGAACAAACCAGTGAAAGAGAAAGTTGTAAAAGAGATAAATAACTTCTGGGAGGGGTGCTGCCAGAAAATAGATGGAACACTGGGTTTCAATCGAGTGAGAGAAGCTAGGAATATTTTGAAGAACTTAAGTGCACCACGTAAAGGTAATGTTATTTCTTCTATCAGTGAGGCCACTTAGAGAAAACATTATGAGACTCTCCTTAACAAAAGTAGAGCGCAGAGTTTATGGCACAAGTGAGCAACGCACAGAAAAATCCCAAGCCGGACCATATGCAAGTAACGGAAATAGAAGTGAGGGCTGCTCTGGTCAGAGCTAAGAGCGGAGCAGCTCCTGGGGGCTTGTATATGGAGCTTTTAAAGGCCGGTGGAAGTAAGATGCTTACACTCTTTAAAATTGTGGTGAAGATAGTCCTAAAAGGATGATCTCTGGACAGGATACATTCGCTATATCATTAAAAAAGGAGATAGGAATCAATGACAGAATTATCATGGTATCTGTGTACAGAACTCAGTGAGCAGAAGTCACGGGAGACTCGTCCGTGATAAGCTATAAGAATATACCACACCGGTACAAACTGGTTTCGCTGCCGGGAGATTCTGCATGGACAATATCTTTGTACTGCGGAAGCTCATTGAAAAATGCAGTACGAAGAATAGGGAGCTTTATTTAGCCTTTATTGGTATGGAGCAGGCATATGATAGTGTTCCTAGCGAAAGAATATGATCAGCACTGAGAATAGTGGGTATTTATGAATCTGTTGTTTAAACAATTCAATACTTGCATGGAAACAATTTGTACAACAGAGTGAAGATAAGGAACCGCTTCCCTGTACCATTTTCCGAAACTAAAGGGCTGAAGCAAGGGTGCTGTCTGTGGGGACGCCCGAAGTGGATGTCTGAAGCAAGGTAGAGCTGGCAAGAAAAGATAATAGAATGCTGTATCCTGTTTTCTGGAACAACACCATTTCAAACGTGAACGTGCGGCGTATCTTCAGAGCTATTGTCGAGTCCATATCAACCTATGGATGTGAAACATAGTCGACGAATGCTAGCTTGTATGCCAAAGTTCGAACTGTAGAAATACATTTTTGGAGAAGATGTTACCACTCAATAAGGTTGGACAGAGAGATATGGTGAGACAAAGAACTGGTGTAGAGGATACAGTCTCTGAAAGGATCGGGAAACGGCAGTTGAGGTGGTGTGGACACTAGGAGAATGCCGGCCATAGGAAGAGTCCTGGACTGGCGGCCATCCGAAAGGAGTAGGCGAGGATGACCGAGAACCACGTTGACAGAAGTAGTCCGAGAAGAGAAGCCGGCCGAGGTTTACAGGAGGGAGACTGGAAAGGTAGAGAGATGTATGGAGCTCGGCTCTGACCTGAAGCGGTATCCCATGTTGGAACATCGGCAATGAGTAAATAAGTAAGTTATTGGTATAAAACACACACAATGAAACCTTATATTCATTCTTCCAGAAAGATGGAATGTGAGAAAAATATTAATTTTCTTTTATAATGTAATCTATTTAATGTAATTTATTTTAATGCTCTAGGTCTTAAAGATCCTCCAGATATTCTGTATATTTAAAATTATTATGTCTTCGTACATTAGAGATTTTCTGTTAATTGATTATTGTAATTTTGCCAACATTAAATTGAATATAATCTGAAATGGAATCTACCATCATTTTAGATTTATATTATTTTTGTTAACTGTTTTATTGAGTCTTAATACAACTGTCACGCTGAAAGGCAGTGTTACTAGTACTACAGTATGCATTCGCACAATATGTAATTACAAAAAGAAAATACATATAAATAACTAAAAAAAAAAATAAGTACATAAGATATAGAGAATTATTATGCACAAGATAAGTAAAATAAAATATTGAAGCTGAATGCTATTAAAATAAATGAAACACATTCACACCTCTGTAAAAAAAATTACATTTGCCCAGGGATTTCTGAATCAAGCTGTGGAATCCAAAGCAGGACTCCAAGAGATCCTAATAGTTCTGTCCCAGCCGGTACTGGGATTGGAACCCAATGAAGACTGATGGAGGGCAATAGACGATTTATAATTAATAATCAATTCTTAAATGTTGTTTATCCTAATGATTTCGAAGGCAGATTATGTGATTTTTATTATGTCGTTATACTAAACAATTATTTAGATTTCAGTTACTATTGCAAATAGAGTATATATGATTTTTTCGTTTCATAAATACAACTTAACTTTACACTTGAAAATTTTAGAAGTTATCATATAAATTTTGTTCGTAATGTTAAAGTTATTCAAATTTATACACTTTATAATTAGCATATTTTGACTATTTGGCTGTTTAAAGTGTGTCTTAACTTTTGAAAATTGTATAGTTTATTATTTTTTTTAAACTATTGATCCGGTGTCGTAATAAAATAGATCTAATAAAATTAATTTTACTTCTAAATTTCAAAAATTGAACACAATACAAGACTGATGATGGACTCAGTAATTGCTTTTCGCAGACGTATTTTTAAGTGCAATAATGCTTTCAAAACCCAAGAATCTAAATGAAATTTGCTTATACTGTTTCAAAGATTAAATTTCTAGAAGCTCTAGAAAATTAATGTGCTTTATGAAAGCAGACAGATGTATTACAGTACAGAGCTATATTTACGTAACCAAAACAACTGTTTCACTAGTTCCATGATAACCTTCAGATAAGCCATAGTAAACTTAAGTGTAGGGATGATTTGGTTAACTAACTGATGCTTATTACAATTGTGTGTATGAAAGACACTTACCTTCCCAGGAGGTGAACAATCGAATGATGCTAAACGTTTTGGAATAAAAATAGCTCCAGCCACTGCATTAAAAGACTTATGTCGAATCATAGTAGTAATTTATGTGGAATTTCGATGACGTTTTTTTTTAAATTTTCGGTTACCTTGAGTACATGTATAAAAGCTATGAAGTGATTTATTCGAGTGGGTCCTGTTGTGTTTTGTTTGTGAATCAGCTTGTCTCTAATATCATAATCCAAAAATTTACCTAGCTTTCTGAGTGACATTTAGTAAAATCAATGTTCCATGAAGTCTTGTTATGTGTTAGCCATTTTATACAATTATTAATTTTCTACTAAATATTTTACACCATATCAATTTAAATCCAATTATTTTATGCATCCAGCTGTTATAAAAATTCAAAATATGCTTCATAATTCTCATACAATGATCCATATTTTTTGTAACATGTTGACAATATCTTTATCGTATGTATGTAGTCTTCTTTAGCTGTGTAATTTACAAAAAATATGATTTTTCAATAGCAAGTTATCATAAAAATACGACAGTAAAAAGTTGCGATTCGTATTATTTGTTGATTTACTCCATCAACAAAGTGTAAATATA